CCGTTGGCAGCAATGCATGTTCTGTGTTTCCGTACTTCTTCTCGCCTCTGCTTCCATTCTCACGTAGGATTTGTGGTCGACATAGAGAAACTGGAACCGGTTTCCTTCGCGTACCCAAGAAAGCATGAGTTTGCGCATCCAAATCCCCCTTAAGTCTTCATGGAGTAGTGCTTAATTAGTTGAGCACACGGGCAAGTTCACCTTTCCTTGATCGCTGTTTCCTCTGCCAATTCTCATTCCACCAACTTCCCCAGATTCACTAATCAAGTTGTCACTCAGCGCTATACAGAGTGTTAAAATAGTTACAAGCTTGAAGTGGTTATAATATTCACTTAAACAAGCAAAATATCTCTGTCAGCTTCTCTCCAGACACCAGCGCCTTCTGAGACATGTGAGATTTTCGTTTGATCTCCACAATGTCTGCTGTATGTAGTTCCCATACATTTCAGTACAACTTTCAGCTCTTCGTCGGACAGAAGTGCGCAGTTTGTTGAAAATCCCTGTTATCACTCGAGTCTCTTGGCAGGTACTCTCAAGTCGTTGTTCTGATACTTTCTAGTCATTGATCGGCGCTGAATGCACGAAAGACTTCAGGCGTCCCCACATCCAAAAATCCAGATGATTAAAGACAGGAGATCGTGCAGGCCAGCTGAATGAACCACCCTTTCCTGTCAAGTGTTCACCGAAAGTCTGGTCCGGGTGCTGTCTGTCACTGAGGAGAAAATGAGTTGGTGTCCCATGTAGCATGAACCACATGTGTTGGCGTTGATGAAGAGGCTTATGTTCCAGCAGTACTGGTAAATCATTCATCAGAAAAACGATGGTACACTGCAGCAGTTAATGTGTTCGGTAAGACAACTGGTCCTGAGAGTTCATCGCGTAGGATATCCACCCAAACTTTGACTCACCCACATCTCAGCAGGCTCTGATTTCTGAACATGTGGCGATTGGGGATTTTTTACTCATTTAAATGAGTAATATACGCCCTTAGTGCAAGCGGTAGCGAAGTTGGTTGAGACACTATGCTACAAACCGGAAGATCGCGGGTTCAAATCCCGATGAAGTTGCTGGATTTTTCAGTTCACTTAATACTTCCAACCGCACTATGGTCCTGGTGTCGACTCAGCCTCTAACAGAAATGAGTACCAGGAATCATCCTAAAGGTAAAGAGGGACTGGCGTGTAAGACTGAGAACATCACCGCCATCTGTGAACCGATTGTCTAGAAAATGTGGGAGCCTCGACGTCTCGCGTCCTGTTGCAGGAATACATTTACTTTCTTTTTACTATACCCCCTTGAAAACTGTAACCCGCTTTTAACACTTGTATAGTCTGTATACTGACAGCGTTCTTAAATAACTTACTTAGAAGTAACTGTTTCTTCAGGGCCGCGCCGTAGCTTAAGCGGTTAGTCGATGGCTTCCCATCGCGGCGCCCCGGGTTCGATCCCGGGGTCTGGTCAAGTGGGATTTGTGGTGGACAAAGTGGCGCTGGGGCAGGTTTTCTCCGAGTACTTCGGTTTCCCCTGCCAATCTTCATTCCACCAATTGCTCCACAATCACCCTCACCTATCATCTGGGGGCTGGTACAATAGGCTAAAAGTAGCCGCAGTGTAAGGGACTTACTCCCATCCCACTAGCAATAAAAAGAAATAAAAAAACTGAAAACTAGTGAAAACCGTAACTTTGTTAGTTAATCTGATGCTCCTGACTGTGGAACATAAACATTCTGCGATGTTTCCAAATGAAAGAGAACTCTTTAGTGTAATACGGTCTCCTTCGCTGCGGTCGGTGTAGCAGGGTGATCCAAAGAGAAGACAAGTTCTGACGAAGAGGGTAGGAGTAGGAGAAGCATTAAGACGCATTTCCATGCTTTAATTACTATTCCATCAACATGCATCCAGCGATGTGTGCTTATGTGAAGAGCAATTGTCATCATACCACAGCAACGTCTCTACAGCAGTAATAACATGCGACTCCACTGTAGCATTCCTTGTCGACAATGAGGTGGAGTGCTTCTCAGATATGACCATCTTCCACATGACAGAGATTCTCAAACTGTGATCCGCGGAACACTGATATTTCGCGAAAAGTTTCCTTTATAATATCCACACTAATATCAATCTATTTTTAAAACTGTTAACTAACTTCATGGAGCTGAGACATTCTTGGGAAGTTGTAAGTTGTGCAGCTACTCAAGTACTTCCCAGTATTTTACAGGACCTGAAGGTTCATTACTGTGTTCACAAGAGCCCTCCACTGGTCCCTATCCTGAGCCAGATCAGTCTAGTCCATACCAGCCTGTCCTATATCTCTAGGATACATTTTAATATTGTCCACCTACATATGTCTTGGTGTTTCTAATGGTGTGTTTCATTCTGGCTTTCCAACCGATATCCTGTATCTATTCCCTTTTTCCCCATTCCTGCTACATGCCCTGCCTATATCATCCTCTTTTGGCTTCATAATTAAGATTACACCTTATGATGAGAACAAGTTATGACCCTCCTCATGCAGTTTTCCTCGGAAAATATTTCTGAATTACACGGACACTGAAGAGTAATTTTTCCCTGGGTTGCGACGTGATATGGTCTAGTAGAAATTTCTCGATGTGTCGGAGAAACATACTACCTTTATCTCTAAGCCTCTCGGTTTGGCTTGCACTTCGACCCTGCAGATGGAGGCAGTACATTCCTGTGAAACAGTGCATAGCGTCACATGCCAGAAGGTCTCAGAATATCTCTTTAGTTCCAAACTTCACCTATTCCTGCTCTCCCTCGTTTTGCAAGACGAGTAGCTGCGTATTGTTGTCAGTTTAAGGTTTCCCCCATTTTGTTTAACAATTTTATAACAATCATTTGCCTTTAATCCTGTCTGGCCACTTCATAATGGTATGCCTTGTGTTTGCAAATTTCTTATTACGAACTTCTGTTGAACTGAAGCAATGTTTCCTTCCATTCAGTTTATAACCTTCTGTGTTCCCTTCTCCTGTCTCAGTGCCTAAACATTAAAATAAGATTATCTTTGGTTTGTACTGGTTTCGTACTCGTGAAACATCTCTCAACCCGAACGAGAAACGTGTACTAAGGAGATAGAAGGGCCGCGCCATAGCTCAAGCGGTTAGTCGCTGGCTTCCCATCGCGGCTCCTCGGATTCGATCCCGTGTCTGGTCAAGTGGGATTTGTGGTGGACAAAGTGGCGCTAGGGCAGGTTTTCTCCGAGTACTTCGGTTTCCCTTGCCAATCTTCATTCCACCAATTGCTCCACAATCATCATCACCTATTATCTGGAACTGGTCCCACCCACTAGAAATAAAAACAGGAGAAAATATGGCCTCTCGAGTTGTACCGTCATATAACTAGGATAGAGCCCGAGCTGAATTCAACTTTCCGCTTTTATTTTGCTGCTTTCTTGCTTAATTTATTCTTCCACCCTGAATATGAACGCGATATATCCATCCGAAACATCACACTGTCTCCGAACTACACGGCATTATAACTCAGAACAGCCAACAACTCTTCAAATTCAGCGCCGTGAGAACTCCAGATGAAATACGGGTTTCGAATCTAATGCCGAGAATAATGTTCAGGCCCAATGCGCAAAGTATTAGGTAGGCCGCACACCGGCATGCGTCAAGACATGTAACAGTCAAGACATGATGTCTGCGACATGATACAAAGAAAGGAGCACAGTTGAAACGAATGAGATTTATTGCATGTGATTTAGAGTGATTGCTTGTAGCCTGAATATCCATTAGACATATTTATCCCATAATTCCACCACAGCTGTTCCTTCCGAAAGCCAAAATTTCAGTTTCCAACATGCAGTGAGAGCTTCTTTCAGTTGTTCCATTGTATCTCAAAATGTTAATCATTATGAATTAATCTAGAACTGTAGGAAAGATGTAACAAACGGCTTAAGACTTTGAAACTTGTGATGAACCTAAGTAATAAAATTCGAGCCCTCATTAGAACACATGATATGCATTACAAAGACCGACGGGTGAATGCTGTTAAGGAAAGTAATCCCTACATACAGAGAACTGTACAGAACCTATAAATCCACTTTGCGCAAAACGTAGAGTTTTCTAATGTGGCACGTAAGATTACTATATCAATCTGAAGGGTTAAAACTTCATAACACTGAACGTTGTGACCTGTAATATTAGTTTAGAGCACGTTCTATTGTCTCCAGCGAATTTCTATATACTGAAAGAACAATTTTTGTGCAAAATTTTGTATGTATTTACTGGCAAGTCATGTTAGCGTACTGGAGGCCTATTAAATCTAAATCAGCTGGATTCCACCCCCCCCCCCCTATGGGAATTAAAAAGAAATTAAGTACGCCACGGTATTTCTGCAAACGCTCTACTTATCGGTGCCTAACAAGACATCGAATATTTTGTCGGCTAATTTTTCAGTTGCTATCGTTTCATGCCACTGAAATAGGGCCCACATTTTACGTGCTGTCATGGCTTTCGCGAATTCCTATTTTGAACCACCGGTCCGATTTTCACGGAAGATGGCACAAATGATGTTCCTTGTAAGACGATCACAGGACATAAATTACAGTTCTTTATATTCGCTAATGAAAATATTATAGACGCAAGAAATCGTGAAGTGGGAGACGCATTGCTACGAAATAAAATCGAGATGCGCACTATGGCATGTAGACCGGCAGAAGTACCCTGACGTTTCGGAGGAGCATATTGCCTTAGTCTTTAGAAAAATGTGTAAGCTAAGCAAGGATTCAGCAAGAAAACTATACTCTTCTGCGAAATTTCAATGAATTCTAGGCAGGTACACGGCGTCATGTCCTAGAGAATGATAATTTTTATTGTTACCGCTTTGAGAACTCTATGTGACTAGCTTTGCAACAGTATTTTTATTTGTGCAATAGTAGCTTTGTTAATGAACAGTTCAGTGTACAGAAATGCAAGGAATGGATTACTGAAGAATTAGCACTTCACAGTTACTATTTAATGTTCTTTTACTTGCTACAGGAGACGTGTGCGGCCCGAGCATGCGCATAGTTGTGCTGTGGCTGCTGTTGCTACAGTTACAGGCGGGCCGGGTCGGGCTTGGACAACACCTTGAAGCCCGCCTGGACACAGTGCGCAGAATTTTGCACGAGGTTCCACTCGTAGACGGGTGAGTTGTTAGATTTGCTTAACTCAGTAAGAAAATATAAGGACATTGCTTTAAAGCATTAGATTGTCGAGAAAAGGTAACAGTTAATAAACCAAAAACTAAAGGTCTCTATGAAAAATGGCGAGACGTGACTCCACGAAACAGAGTTCTCCTTAAGAAGCTAATTTTATGAATTCAGAGGTTCAATCGCATATTCCTGGAGCAGGTCTGTGTACCTGTAACTCTCTCTACTTGTATTTTGGAGGCACTAGTTTTGAATATAGACCGGAACAACTGCTATCCTGAGTTTTTCTCATAATTGTCCTCAGTTCCGGGGGGCTAGTATTCGAGATAGTAACTCGATTAGGTCAGGCCGTGACTTCAAATTTTATTAATTTAATATTCATCACTTTACCCTGCCAATTTATGTTATATAGTCTAAAAGAAAGCCTCAAAAGCACACTGTACTCAGAAGAGCCCTCATTAATTCGGACTTCTAGTCGAAAATGTCCGACGTTTTTTATTCATCATTAAATAACCTTGTCCTACAATTCCAAATATTGTGAAGTATTCAACCCCTTGGCACGGATCTCGTAGAAAACACCGTTTCTGTTGCTGTAGTTCAGCTGTTGCTTGTTAAGAATCTGCTGCCTAGCAATGGCTGTTTTCTTGTTTGTTTCATAGTCATTGCCTACACACCACAATATATAACTCTCTAAACATTATGAGAAACCGATAACGATTAGAAATTTAAAATTATATAGGATTTGAGGTTCTCACAGCGGTGGTATGAAGAGTTCTATCTTCTTGGATACAGCACCGTGTAGTCCGTTGAAAGTCAACTGACGTTTCGGAGAAAGATGTAGCTTCCATCTTCAGGGTCAAAGAATAAGCCAAGCGAGCGGAAAGTAGGTGATAATCAGAGCAATCCGCTTTACGAAATTCCATATTATATATGCAACAGGAGGGAAATAGAAAATAGTCATTCCCCGCTGGCTCGCCCGTAGGACTTGGTTTTCTCGCTTGTGTCTCAGAGCCAATGGGTAAGGGCGGTTCATTCTGTCCTATTGGCGGGACAGCCGGAACTGACTTGCTGTTTTCTATTTCCCTCCTGTTTGCCTGTATAACTCGAAATGTCACTACTTGCCACCTGCTTTCACACAGGTTTCTCTTGCCAGGCTTATTCTTCGGCCCTGAATTTGTAGGCCACATATTCCTCCGAAATGTCATTTGACTTTCAACAGACTACACGGCGTTATATCCCAGAAGATAGAATTATTCAGTTTACAATTAGTTGTCCATAACATGGCGAATCACTACCTCGCGAGCAGAATTTCCATTCGGTCCTTATCTTGAAGTGTGAGAAGTATGAAGGGGGAAGCGTGAACTTAAACGTTGTTAATAAATTGGAGCCCATGCTTCTACAACTTGGGCAATTTCTGAAAGTGGGTTACGCCTGTGTGGCGCTGCTGTGCACTTCAAGAGCTCATTTCTTATGCGTCGCGCGTGAAGTGATCAGGGCGGTGTGTGAGTGTAAAGCTTGCTCAGTAACTTACTTGCTTCCAGGGTGCTTAAATGAACATAGTGCTTGACTAACTTAATAAACGACTGAATATCTGAATGACTGGAAGAACTTTCTGTTTAATATGTTAAATGACTGAGTGATTGACAGAAAGTATAAATGAAATGAATGGTCTCTCTCGCCAACTTATTACTACTCGAATGACTATATAAATTTACTTACTAACTTAATAAATAACTGAGTGACTGAATGACTGGATGAACTGGCTGTTCAATATATTAAATGACTGAAAATATAAATGAAATGAATGGGCTCTCTCACCAACTTATTACTAATCGAATGAATACGTAAATTTACTGGCAAATTTAATAATTGACTGACTGGATAAATTAATGAATAAACTGCCTCGCTAATGCTCTTAAGTAACTGATTCGATGTATGAATGAATAAATAAATGAATGCAGTGGCAAGTGACTGTATGGGAAATTTTTTGACAAGGAAATCTAGGAAGAATTACCCGACAACTTTCATTTTATACGAAACGGACCGTATAAAAACTTGTATTTCTTCTTTGCCGCAGGAACGTGATTACCGAACCATTGTCCTGTAACGATAGGAAGAAAGACAGACCAACACACCCACAGACTCTCCTTTATGCTAGCCGGCCGCACAGAAAACGACGCGTCCAGCAATTCTGCTGTCGTTACGTGTATTCCTTGCCGCGGAAACGTGTTCACGGAGCCGCTGCCTAGCAACGATATATATGGGGGCACAGATTGATGGGAGGGATTTGTAAAGTAAGCCATTACATGAACTATGTGAAATTGTAGGTTATGATGACGATACATGTCTACAGTATTGTATTCTAGCGCCATATTGTGTGCGTGAACAGCCACTCGGCCTGACAAGACAAGTCTGACAACAAGGTCAATCCACAAAAACAAACAGAAGCACGGAAAACAAAATAACACATACACGTAGATCATAGTGGAACACATGATCTGTGTACCAGCACAAGATTACACACGAAAAGATAATTTTTACAAGGACCAGATAATAAAGTAAACAAAGAAATTATTCACGACACTACTACGGCGTAAACGACAGATTGTAACACAACCTCTTAACATTTGACATTTTAATATTTTTAGCATAATTTTATTCTAAGGGACAGTTTCTTCATTAAAGAGTAAATATACAACCTGGTATGTTTAATTTATTTATAGTCATCTATGGGTGCTCAGTTGGTCACGGTAGTCGAGGGGTCTAAGGCATGTAGTGTCTTCGCTCGCCCGGAAGCCGGGATTGTGGGTTCGAATCCAACACAAGACATGAATGTTTGGTGTGTGTGTGTACGCGTTTATTCTGTGATTTTGTTGTCCTGTGTTTAGGTAGAGGCCTTGCGACGAGCTGATCACCCGTCCAAGGAGTCCTACCGTCTGTAGAAGTGATTAATGAAACTGAGAAATAAGCCCTATGCCCCAAAGTGGGTGCGAGAGAAATTAATGAGGGCACAAATTGCAAATATGTTGGGCTTTACCATTACTTATTGATTAAAACAATGGATGCAAATGATGATATATTTTTGTGTTCATTCAAAGAAGATCTCTGTTACTTTAAAACATGAAGAAACTCGATGAAAAAGACAAGCAAAATAATGGCATTGGAAATCAATGTTTACTTCATGAGATCGATTGAAATTTTATCGAAAGTTCGAGCAAAGTGCGACGTTCGGTAAACAGTTTAATGAAGGCTGGTGTGGAAGGTAGATGGATTACCAGAAGACTTACGGTTGAGAGGTAAACCTTTATTCACACATTAATTAAGGAGAAGGTGGTATAGAACAAGGGAGCTAAGAGCCAATGTAAGATGTTGATAAAAGAGACGGGGCGACATTAGGAAAGCTCAAGAGAGTGGCTTTTAATCCCAAGTTTCCTATAAAAGTCCACAGCAATTCCCTGTTTCTTTTCCTTTAAATTACTGTGATGGTAGTTTAAACTTTATAATGCCCATAGTTTATTTACAAAGAAAGTCAGAATCTTTTGCTTTCTAGCCTTTTATCTAAAAGTGTAACCATTAAAACATACAGAACAATAGCTTTGCCTCTTACAATACATATCTATATGTCTGCCTGCCTGTCTATCTGTCTATCTATCTGTCTACCTATCTATTTATCTATCTACCTATCTATGGCTCTACAGCCGTTTGTTGGGCCCTTGCCCCTTTTTTCAGTTTCTTTATATTTTACCGATTCGGTAAGACTCCTTGGACGGGGGATCAGCTCGTTGCAAGGCCACAACATGGACGCAGGGCAACACAAACAGAATAAACGCACACAAACATCCGTGCCTCAAGTGGGATTCGAACCCAGGACCCCAGTGTTTGAGCTGGCGAAGACAGTTCATGCCTTAGACCTCGCGGCCACTGTGGTCCGCAACCTCTTACAATATATGGATGTAAAATGGGTCTATTGCTAGTGGGGTGGGACCAAGTCCCTTGTACTGCGGCCACTTCTGGCCTATTGTACCAGCCCCAGATGATAGGTGAGACTGATTGTGGAGCAGTTGATGGAATGAAGATTGGCAAGGGAAACCGAAGTACTCGGAGGAAACCTGCCCCAGCGCCACTTTGTCCACCACAAATCCCACTTGACCAGACCCGAGATCGAACCCGGGTCGCCGCGGTGGGAAGTCAGCGACTAACCGCTTGAGCTATGGCGCGGCCTAAAAGGCGTCTAACTGCAAGGACGGAACATGCAAATTAAGGAGTAAAAACAGGGTGCTGAATTGTACCTAACAGAAGGAGATAAACAGTAGAATGGACAAAAATGCACAATGAGAAAATTTACAGTCTGGATAGATAATATGCCTACTCCTTCAGCCATGGGAGCTAGGTGGTGACGCAGGCCGTAACGTCATCATTATAAAAGAACTAGATTATATTTCCAATATACTTCCAGTTTTCGCAGGTCGGTGAGAGCTTCAAACCTACTTTCACAACAGTTCTCTTTCATGAAATTGTATACACGAGGTGTATTTTAACCTCATTCGTAAAGTAGATGGACCTTACGCGGGCGATTGAATAAGAGGGTGATATGAGTGAGTTATAATGCCACGCTGTGGGAAACGGAAAATGCGTGTACCGGTTCTCACGGTCTCTTTGCTTGCGGATTTTCTTATTTTTCCTTCTACCCTGAAGATGGAGGCCATACGTTCCTCCGAAACGTCGGTTAAAACCACATCTACACGATGCCACATCCCAAAAGACTGCTTTCTTCATAGTCACCGCCGTGAAAACCTCAGATCTTACATCATCTGTCTATGTTTGGACACTCTATAGTCCAGATATTGAGAGTGTTGTTAAATAAACCAGCAGATTCTAGAGCTCTGAAAGTTGACTCAGAAATGAAAGAGAGTTCAGAATTTCATATCTGATACATCTAACATTTCATATTAAATTTAGGGGAAAGAGCGCGATAGATATAAATTCTAACTTATAG